TTATCCCTTGATCCCCCCTCACCCCCAGCAGTTTTTCTTAACTTTTAGAAAATACATTGAGAGACACAACTGCTGCTCTCCAGGGCTTCCCCTAGTTTACCTTCAGCTGTGATACATACAGACATAAAGCACACACATACATAAGAACACATACACACGGTGGTTGGGGTCATTTCTCTCTAGCAAATAGGCAGGAAATGCATACACAGCGTATATATCTTTAGTACCGCCCCTACAGGATGGTTAAGTTAGGCTTTCCTGTTAATAAGGCACACACAGAAGTTTAGCGATATCACAATGCAAAACCCGTTACAGAAAATGCAGTGACCGGTTATTTGATACAGCCAGATCGACAACCATAAAAAAACCCCTAGCTCAGTGTATTCTGCTGATTTGTTCTCTCACGTTCCATTTCCACAGTGGGTAAAGTTTAATATGGTTAACTGCGCCCGATTCTGAATCTACAGGCGGGGGGGGGGGCATCAGAAACGGCACAGAGAAGCACTCCGTCATGTTGCAAAGGAAAGTCTACAAGAGACAACGGTTCAGAAAGAGCCTCCTGGCCATCTCTCATTTGACTTGTTCACAGAGTTCAGTTGTAAAGGTTACCCGGAATTAGCCCGGAGGCCCACCTCCTTTCCAACTACCATTGGCCATTTGTGTGCCACCCTTTTGCTACAGGGCTGAGGATTGCCAGCTCCGGGTTGGGAAACACATGGAGATTTTGGGGGGGGGTGGAGCCTGAGGAGGGCGGGGTTTGGGGAAGGGGCATAATGCCGTAGAGTCCACCTTCCAAAGCAGCCATTTTCTCCAGCTGAACTGATCTCTGTCGCCTGGAGATCAGTTGTAATAGTGGGAGATCTCCAGCCACTACCTGGAAGTTGGCAACCCTCTCTGAGAACCACCCCCAGCGGGAACAACCGAGCACTCGCTTTGATGATCGCTTATCCTAAGATGCCTGACGGCAAGGCACGAATTACAACTCATTTCCAGAGGTCGTCACCTCTTTTCGGCCCGTAGATTCATTCATGTCCACAAAAATATGGACAAATCCAAACCAAAACAAGGTGATCCCTGCAACCAGGCCCAGCCTGGGACTTTTTAATGGCACACCTGTGCCTGCAGGGGGCAGCACCTCTACACTTTCACTACTGAGTTATTTCTCCCAGGTCAAGATGGGATACGGTGGATGGGGGTGGGGTGGGGGGAGAGCGTGCCCTTTCCGCAAAGAGAAAAATATAAATGTTTTTTTTTGTTCAGGCAGAGATTTTACAGCTGAATTATTCAACTGCGGTTTGGCCAAAATGCCTGCATTTTGGTTGCCAGCAACAAGGATACTATTTTATTTGTGTTATTCATCGACTGGAATTAAACAAATGAATAACTCTAAAGACTGTATATTATATTGTGCCAGCTGCTCTGCTCTAATCTGCTACCTTCCAGAGGATGCAGGAATCCAGGCTCCTGGCTTTTCTGCCTACATCCCACTATGCTATGCGCTCCCCAACATCTGGGGACATGGCGAGGTCTCTAAATTTCTTACAGCCCACCATATAACCTAGTAATAAGGTTCCGGTTAAAGACACTACAAAAAAAAAAGCCCAGTATAAATTACAAGGTGAAACTGGGATCAAAACATGTGGCGTATGTTTCACGGAAGTATGTTAGTGAAGATGAATACTGCTTTTTCCATGAAGACATTTCCACAACAGACTGAAAAGACGACCCGTGTGCTATGCGGGCCACGTCCGTGAAGTCTGCAGACCACCAGCAGTCCACAGCAATATTTCAGAAACTATTGCATGCCCAAAGAATTAAAGAATCATAAATCCCACCCCGCCTCCCCAGTTCAAGCTATCCTATGATAGGTAACTGAGAGCACGTTTTCACCTGCATGTCCGTCGCTGATTACTGCAAGCGATGGCAATATACACAACAGCCACTGCAGATTGTACACCGATGGACAGACTTTTCCTATCGTTCAACACAATCTTAAACGCAATCGTTTTCAGTGGCGACTGATCATACACTCGCCTGAGTCACTGCAAGTGACTTAAGGTCTTTTCACACAGAGACTTCCCTGCTTTTTTTTAGGGAGCTCCCAAGCTTCCTTTTATTCCATTTTTTTGTGTGTGTCTTTTTGTGGTTTTCTTGTCATTTCTCCACACTTTCTCAAACTAACTTTGGCCCGATTTGAAAAAGTATGAAGAAGGAAACCAAAGAAAGACAACAAGCAAACAACAAAGATGTGAGGAAATTTGGGGGGGGGGGGGACAGGGCCGCGGTTTAGAAGACGAAGGGTCTGCAGGAAAACCTCTGTGTGAAAAACACCCATACAGGCATATGCAACTCCGCCTCGAATTTAGCTTGTCTGGATCCTTCAAACCTCTTTCAAGCCGACTGCTTCTTTCTCCCAAACCATTCTCCCTTTCTCTCTCCCTTATTCTGACATCTCCAAATCCTACCCTGTAGAGATAGATTTCAGGCAACCTGCTATTTAGCAATCCATTTGTGTGGGTGACGAACGTCTCATGCCTGCCCTTTCTGCCCACAAGGGCTGCTTCCTTCACCGGGAGATGAAAAGTCGATCCCACCAGATGATGAAGGTTTCACATGCGTAGGCGACTGCACGAGAACCCATCTCCATGAAGGAAGTAACCCTAGTCAGCTGACCACAGAGGAAGTGAGGTGGAGCCAAAGTCATACCCCTCCAGGAATTGTTGGCATTTCGCTGGGATTCAGGAAGTCTCACTTCCACTCTGATTTCCACCCCCTTTCTTTGTAATGGAGACCTCTGGAAGCCTTGGGCCCTGTGAGGTCTTCTCCGCACAGGCAGCAGAATGAGGCCGTTGAATCCCGCAGTGAGAGATGGGAGACCTCCAGACTAATGCCATCGTGAATGCTGCCCCCATAAAAATGTCAGCGGGGTGTAATGGGTTAGATTGCTGGATTACGATGGAGGAGCCCTGGGGGCAAATCTCTGCCCTGTCACGAGGCTCATCAAGTCACCCTGGGCCACGCCCACTCTCAGCCTCAGCCTCGTCACAGAGCTGTTGTGAGAACTGAATTGGGAGGCACTGCGCACGTTACCCTAAGCTCCTGGGAGGAAGGGCAGGGTAAAGAGGTAATAAATAAAGTGAAAATTCTAGTACGTAAAAACTTTAGGATCCCATCCCTTGTATGCCAGCTTTCTTCTTGTGGGGAGGGATTTGTTAAACTCTAGCAAAGCGTGCAAAACTGCAGTTCTCCCATTTGCAGTCCGAAATGGTACAGTCCATTTTTACCCCTCTGGGACTCCTCCGCCTCATTCTGCTGCCTGCGTGGGTCAGGCCTGACGCTCAACTCCAGGGCTCCAACCTAGAGATATTCAAACCGAGGGGTGCTCCAAGAGGTGTGGCTGGCATCCAGGTGCCCCGATCTAGTGTCGTGTGCCTTCCAGGCAAGACGTTTTGCAGTGTGAGAAGCAAGTCGTCCTCTCTCCACCCCCAGTTTTTAACTTCTTCCCTCCCTCAGACCTCCAAGTCCTTCTTCCTCTTCTTTTCCTTGGCTTCTGTCTCTCCATCTGCAACGTTCCTCATCCCAGTTCCTGCTTCCATCCCGTTTCTTCTCCTTCCGCTGTCCTCTGCTGGAGTCATTGCCAACCACCCCTGGATGGCACGATTGTACAGCCACTCTGCGACATCGCATGACACGTGGTCCCAGCCCCAGGCACTGCAATACTCTCATTAGCCACTAGAGGGGGGTAGTAAGGAGGCAGCCTGATGTACTTTGTTAGGGGAGACTGTCCAGAAGGTGGTGGGGAGGACCGGGCGGGGAGGGCGGTGGTCTGGCCCCACCAATCCCTGCGCCTCTCACTGGATGAGTGGGGCTGAGCGGTCGTTTGTCACGGTGCGTTTCAGCTTGATGTGAGCAAAAGGGTTGGACCTGCAACAGGAATGGGGAAGTCAGGGGGGCGGAAGGGAGCACTGGCTTGAAAGAAAGTGACAGGAAGTTCTACCGACCAGTTTTGAGGACAATGTTGTGTAGTGGTTAGAGCTTCAGGCTAGGACAGGGGAGAACTGAACTCAAATCCCCACTCGGCCATGAAGATGACATGGTGACCCTGCTCCAGTGACTTATCTCTCAGCCTAGTCTACCTCACAGGGCTGTTGTGATGAGAAAAGTGGAAAGAGAGAGAACCAAGCACAGCACCCTGTGCTCCTTAGTGAATGTATGGAATGAAAATATGACAGACAGACAGCCCGGGGGTCCATGAGATGCCAGAACATTGAGGTAGCTGGATAGACTGGATCACTTCAAATTATGGAAGGGGGGAGGTTTACCACTTGTGAATACCCCCCTATGTTTAAAACACCCTTCCCTGCAAATATAGGACTAGCATGTCAGGGAAAAAGCTGAAAAGCTTGCACTTTGCTGCAAAGCTAGTTTCCAATCTGCTGGGAAATTTTAATATCAAATAGCATGAAAAGCCTAATCTCCCACCTGCAGGCTGAAGTGGTACAATCCATTCTACCACCTCCCAGTTCTACATGTGCCAAACCAGGACAGAATTACAGTACTCAGAGTCACCCAGATGCTTTAGATCCCATGTTAAGATATGGCATTCCTAAACCACGGATGCCCTGACCTGGATAGACCAGAGTAGTCCAATCTGGTCAGATCTCAGAAGCTAAGCAGGGTCGGCCCTGGTTAGTACTTGGAGGGGAGACCACCAAGGAAGTCCAGGGTTGTGACGCAGAGGCAGGTATCGGCGAACCACCTCTGAACATCTCGTCTTGGAAACCACACGGGGTTGCCGTACGTTGGCTGTGGCTTGATGGTTAAAAAAAACCCCACCACCAACAGCAACCAAATAAAACGCCAAAGTTATACAGAATGGGGTATTACAGTCAGGGAGAAAGAAGATCCCTGAAGTCACAGGAGGGCGTCTTACCTCGAAGGAGAGGCACTTGGACTCCCAAACTCATTTGCTAACTGGGAAGGAAAGAAAGAAAGCAAACTCAGTCCCATTCACGCAAGTCCTGCTTCAGCTCCAGAACTTCAGGAAAACCACTCAGCCCATGGAACAGTAAGAGCTTTGCCAAAAACAAATAAACAAATAAACTGGATCTTGCATGCATCAAGAAAGAAGTTGCTTCTACTGCGAAGCCTGGCTTGGTGGCTTTTGACCACTGAGTGGCAGCAGAGAAACACCAAAGAAGCCTCCAAAAGAAGAGTCTGGCAGGCTCCTCCGCTCAGGCACACAGAAACCTCATCCCACACGCTCACCTGAGACAGGTCGGGGTTGAGCATGCTGTAAGGACGCTGGCGGGATGAACTGGTCCGCGGGGAAGGTCCGTAGCGCGGGCTCTCCCCTCCCTCGGGGCCAGCCGGTGGAGAGCCCGCTCGGTCCAGATTTCCCGTGCTGCTACTGTTCATTTTGCTAAGTGCGAAGCTGTGCAGAGAGAGAGGCATGTCAAGCTAAGGTAGGTGGTTAAGAACACAAGAGGAGCCATGTTGGATCAGGCCAGTGGCCCATCCAGTCCAACGCTCCGTGTCACACAGTGGCCAAAAACCAGGTGTTTCCCACTGCCCCAATTTAACCTAGTCATCCCCACGTCCCTTGGAAGGAACCCAGAAGGAGGGCGGGACTGGCCCTGGGAGGCCCCTGGCAGCCAGTAACTGGGGCAAGCTTGCCTCTATGGTCATGGCTGCTGCGGCCCAGGCCAACTGGCCCCTATGGCACTGCCGACAACGCAAAGACCTTTGGGCTCTGCTTGCCCCTTGTCTGCTTTAAAGACCCCGTTTGCCCCTGGCTCAGACGTCCAGGTCTCAAGGTCTTCCTGCGGCATCCCATGACTTTCTTTCCCAGGATTCCAAATGTCGCGTCTCCCATCCTCAGACACCTCCTCAAACTCTCTCTCTGCTTAAAGAAACCATGTCAGACCAGCTTGCAGCTAAAAGTCAAAATGGCCTCCTTGGAAAGGTGGGCTCTACCGTCTGAATTTTAATCTAACACGGCACATCCCCTACCCTTCGGCGGATACACAGAAGAAAGCAGCAGAAGTGTGTCCTTCGTGCAATGGTCCCTGGTATGGATTGCTCTGCAACAAGGCTTCTGCATGAGGTCAGGCAGCAATTTTTCTCCAGGATAGTTTGGTCAGAGATCCTGGAGATTTCTGACCATCTTCTGGGCATGGAACAGGGGTCATTGGGGGTGTGTGTGGGGATATTTGTGAGTTTCCTGCATTGTGCAGGGGGTTGGACTAGATCAGGGGTGGCCAAACTGTGGCTCGGGAGCCACATGTGGCTCCTTCACAGATGTTCTGTGGCTCCCAGCAGGTTGGCTGCGGAATTGAAAAGGAGGCATGCCTCCCTGGTTGGTCTTCCCTTCCCCTTGCTTTCCTTCCACCTCCCCCCCCCATCATTTCCTTCCTTCCTTCCCACCTTTCTCTCTCTCTCTTTCTCCCCTCCCTCTCCATCTAAAGTTAAATATCATTATCAATATCTGTTTTTATTCCTTTTGTTTTTATTTTTGGCAGTCTCATTTAATGTTAATAAAAAAGCAAATTTGCATATTTTCCAATAAAAACGTGTGGATTTACATTTGTTCATGTCTTGTGGCTCTCAAATATCTGACATTTATTCTATGTGGCTCTTATGCTAAAAAAGTTTGGCCACACCTGGACTAGATGATCCTGAAGGTCCCTTCCATATGATTCTATGGCCGATTTCCCACAAGCACTCCTCCACGCTCGCTCTTCCCTTTTGCCCCGATGGTACGTGTCAATTTCACACAAGCCCCGGAGCTTCGCACGATCCCCCCACCCCCTTACTCAATCCTCAAAAAACAGGATTGAGTAGATGTGGGGAAAATCACGCCAAGCTCCGGGGAGAAAATGCAGCCACGCAGCAGCTTGTGTGAAATTGACACGTACCATCGGGGCAAAAGGGAAGAGCGAGCATGGAGCAGTGCTTGTGGGAAATCGGTCTATGACTCTAAGATTGGCCCAGGTGACTTCGGGTCCAGTAGGAAGGGCACATTAACAGGTTCTGAGTGCTAGAAGAACCTTTAGCAGCAGCACAGAACTGCCCGCCTTTCCCACCACAGAGGATGCTACATTCCATGTGCTGGGACAACTGTGGCTTTTCATAAGCAATGTGAGGTATGTCTTAGCCCTGCGGCCAGTGCTGCTGTTTTAGCAGACTCAAGGGCCATGCATATTACAGGAGTGGCATTCTTGCAGGTAGGGGACAGTCCCGCACTATTTTGCTTTGGTAAAATCAGGGACCAAAGAGTATGTGTATTAAGAGCTGTACAGTCACTTCTGGCTCTCCTAGCATTATTGTCTTTTCCACTGAGTCTTGTCCTCTCATGATGTGACCAAAGGACGACAGAGTGGGTCTAAATGGGCAGGGCTATTTTGGGGCAGGAATGGAGTTCCGGCTGGCTCCCGAGTTGGCCACACCCAGCAGGAACTCATCAGCATAATAGGCCACACCCAACAGCAGAAACTCATTAGGACTGGCTACATTAGGGGTGTGTGGCCTAACATGCAAAGGGTTCCTGTTATTTTTTTAAAAAAAGCCCTGGGTTTTGACAACAAACAAGGTAAACAGAATAAGAAGCAAAAGGTGAGTGTGGCTGGAGGACCACACTTCTAGTAATGTGGGGTGTGGCCTAATATGCTAATGAGCTGCTCTGTCAGGGGTGTGGCCTAATAGGCTAATGCATTTCTACTGTTGGGTGTGGCCTGTTATGCTAATGAGTTCCTGCTGTGCTTTTTCTACAAAAAAAGAGCCCTGTAAATGGGCATGGTGATAAAAGAGCAGGGCTAGACTCCCAGTGCCCTGATAGCCCAGGATAGCCGAGTCTCATCAAATCTTGGAAGCTAAGCTGGATCGTCCCTGGCTAGCATGTGGATGGGAGACCACCAAGGAATGCCAAGGTAATGATCTAGAGGCAGGCAAGGGCAAACTACCTCTGAACGTCTCTTGCCTTGAAAACCCCACCAGGGGTCGCCCTATGTCAGCTGTGACTTGATGGCAAAAAATAATAAAAAACCCACGAGAGGGTTTCCCCCCTTACCGGCCATTGTCCTTACCCTGAGACGTATTGTGTGTACTTTCAAGAGCTCTGGGGCAGTCAGATATCAGTTCCACGAACGAAAGGTGCCCACTCAGGGGCTACCGTGCCTTCCCTTGATCTTAGCAAGCGGGACTCCAGTTTTGCCAGTGAACAAAATGACCTCTGGCCTCTAACCCAAATGGCTTGATTAGGACTGTCCTCCCCCCACCCACCCCCGTCCATTTCGAAGACTTCCTACTTTACCTGATAAGTGGCTTGTCGGCCCCTTCGGCTGGGGGGAAGGGCCGGGTATAGGAGAAAGGAAACCAGCCTTTCCTGTAAAGAGGAGGGGGGGGGGAAGGGGTAAAAAGAGAAACAGGCGTCCGTTAAAACAGTAAGGGAAAAGATGCACCACTGCTCTCTAGCCCCTGCTAGTGAGACTGGGGGGGACGGGAGGGGAAATGAAGTGCCTGTGGAGAAGAAATGGCAAGAACAGTCACAACCACAACAAGGAGGCCGCACTCTGGGGCCTACGGAGGGAGTACGGCCTAGTGGGTTAGGAAATGGACGAGAGCAGGAGCGACAGTTCCTGATTTCTGGGAAGAGGAGGAAACAGGCTGGGCTTACTGGAGCAGAGGAGGAAGGTGAAGCAAACGCAGCCACACTCCAGCGCAGACCCCCAGAACCCAGTGAGACTAGATTGGGCTGGATCACACAGGGGAAGCTATTGTACAGTGAGTCTATTTAGCTTAATACTCCAGCTGGACGAGGCCTTTTCTCCAGCCCCCTGCTAGAACTCCGCCTGGGACCTCCTGCATGCAAAGCCACGTGCTTGACCACCGCGCCGTGACCTAGGGTTGCCAGCCTCCAGGTGGGGCCTGGGGATCTCCCGCTATTACAACTGGTCTCCAGCTGACAGAGATCAGCTCCCCTGGGGAAAATGGCTGCTTTGGAGGGTGGGCTCTATGGCATTGTACCCGGCGGAGGCCCCTCCCCTCCTCAAACCCCGCCCTCTCCTGGATCCACCCCCAAAGTCTCCAGGTATTTTCCAACCCAGGCCTGGCCACCCTACCACTCCCAGAGTCTTCTCCAGCAGAGCTCCCAGCCATATTGACCCCCTTAGGCTGAGCAGCTCAGGAGAGACGGACGGGCACAGGCGCCCACAGAACAGGGAAATGCGAGCAGCCAGGATTCCCGAATCCCCGGGGAGACACACAAGGTGTGGGGGAGGATCTCACATTTTGGTCGCCTCGTTCTCCCCGTAATGCCAGCCATCCCGTGCCTCCGTCACCAGCAGCAAGATGACGTCTCCCTCTTGGAAGTTGAGCAGGGTGCTGTTCTCGCCCGCCGAGTGGGAGAATATCGCCTGGACCCTCCGGCGCTCAGAACGTGCAGGCAGGATGGAGAGTGGACTGATGCGAGGCAGGGTCTTGTTCTCCACTGTGTGTGTGGGGGGGGAGCAGGGATGGGTGTCAGTGGGCAGGAGTTTCCCGTTTGGGGCACAATATGCTCTAGAACAGGGGCCTTCGGCTTTTCCAGACCCGGATCCACGGAATCAGGGCTGTTTTGGGGCAGGAACGCACAGGAACGGAGTTCCAGCTGGCTCCCGAGTTGGCCGCGCCCAGCAGGAACTCATTAGCATAATAGGCCACACCCAACAGCAGAAACTCATTAGGATTGGCTACATTAGGGGTGTGTGGCCTAACATGCAAAGGAGTTCTTGCTACAAAAAAAAAGGCCCTGGGTTTTGACAACAAACAAGGTAAACAACAAACAAGAATAACAAGCAAAAGGTGGGTGTGGCTGGATGACCACACTTCTGGTAATATGGGGGTATGGCCTAATATGCTAATGAGCTGTGTTGTCAGAGGTGTGGCCCAATATGCTAATTAGTTCCTGCTGGGCTTTTTCTACAAAAAGAACCCTGCACGGAATGACAAACATGTGACAGGAAGTCATAGCGCATCAGAGTCAGTTGGCCGGCCGGCCGGCCTGCCTGCCTGCCTGCCTATCTATCTGTCTGTCTGTCTGTCTGTCTGTCTGTCTAGTACTGCTCACCTTAAGCAGAAATTAGAACTAAATAAAATATTTTAAAAGACCTTACTCAGTATTATTTCTCTTATATTTGATTACTGCACCTACAAATTTTTGCCACTGAGAGGGTGACACGATCATTGGTATCCGATAGTAGCCATGACACCTGGGCTGGCACATTTAGCAGTTCCATATCTTTAAGTGAAGGGGTGACTAAATTAGCCCTCAACTCATCATGTGTCAGGAAGCAGGAGAAGTCAGGGTTATTATGACCTCACCAGTTCCTAGGCCAGGATCACAGTAAGCAAGCCAAAAGAGCGGGGGACAGGAAGCCAAAAAAAAAGAAAAGTGTACCATAATCAGGAATAAGCTTCTGGTCAAAGCCATGGAGGTCTCTTCCCCACTGCTACTCTTTATTATATTTATTTACTTCCTATCCTGCCTTTCTCCCCAATGGGGATCAAAACATCTTACATCATTCTCTTCTCCTCCATTTTCTCCTCACAACAACCCTGTGAGGTAGGTTAGGCTGAGAGAGTGTGGCCGGCCAACGTTCACCCAGTAAGCTTCCATGGCATGAGTGGGGATTCGAACCTGGGTTTCCCAGATCCTGCTCCGACACTGTAACTAACCACTGCTCTTCTGAGCATGCGTGCGAAGAGTGGTAGAAGGCGCACATGCTCCTTCTGCATCAGGGACTTCCAAAAGGCAGTCAAAAATGGCAGCTGGAAAGGGGCTACTAATCCATCAGGAGGGACTCTGTGACCCACCGGGGGGTCCCAAACCACAGGCTGAAGGCCACTGTCCTAAAACAGGCGGATCAACTTATAGAAAGGTTGCACAGATGTTTGCTTTTATATTTGAAACATGTAATGCAATTGGTGTTGCATAATAATAATAATAATAATAATAATAATAAACTTTATTGTCATTGTACATAGTACAATGAAATTAAAGATGCAATCTGGTTTTACTTGTTGTATGTAACAATTCATAACTTTTCACAAACTTGACGAATCTGTATTTTCCCCGTACCCCTTTTTTCCTTCTGTATCCCACCCCCTTTAAAGAGAAAATAATAAAAAAAATGAATGAATTAACTAACGATGCGATTTATATCCCGCCCTCCCCTCAGGCTCAGTGCGGCTAACAATAAGGCCTTGCACAGATAATAACCTGCAGCAGTTCTGAGTCTTGCTAGACAAGGCAGGAGGGCCCCAGGGTGGGCTGCGGCTTACGCTGGACACGGCACACTCACCCAGCGTCGCAAGGCGGGTCTCCGTCGACATCTTGCGCGGCATCGGAAGGGTGCAGGAATAGCTCTCGGCGGTCTTGGTCTGTGGGGGGGTCTGAGTGGTTTGGGTGGGCGGCAGGCCTGAGGTGAGGGCGATGGGCTCGCTAATCGGCGGGTGGCCCGGGTCCCTCGATCCCTTCCCACGATGGGAGTCACCATTAGGCAGTGGCGTCACCTCCTGGACTGAGGCACGCTATACGAAGAGAGAAACAGAGAGGTACCACACCAGCATTCGGGTATTGCCCCATCGTGACTTTCCTTGCTCTGACCTGGACGGCCCAGGCTAGCCCAATCTCATTATATCCTGGACTCTAAAGCAGGGCTGGCCCCGGTTAGCACTTGGGTGGGAGACCACCAAGGAATCCCAGGGCTGCTGTGCAGAGGCGGGCATTACTAAACCACCTCTGAACATCTCTGGCCTTGAAAACCCCACAGGGTCACCATACGTCGGCTGCAACCTGTCCACACTTTCCACCACCACAACCAGCTTTTCTTAGTTCTTACTACCTTTGGAGGGTCGGGAAGGCAGAGTGGCACAGGCCGATCTTGTCAGGTCCCGGAAGCTAAACAAGGACGGTACTTGGATGGGAGACCCCCAAGGAAGACTCTGCAGAGGACAGCAATGGCAAACCATCTCTGCTTGCCTTGAAAGCCCCTTCCTGGGGTCACCATAAACGTGTTGCAACTTGACAGCACTTATCTGCGTACAACCTCTGGGCTGAGTCAAAGGCTCCCTCTTCATTCCTGGCTTTCCACTGGGAGCTCCAGATGTGACATCTGGCTACACCACTGCGATTGGGGACTCTGAACCCCAGAGAGGTATAAGATAAAGGCAGGGGGTCAATTGCCTGGTGTTCCCAGGTGGACACTCACATGGTTTGGTCCATGCTCTAACAATTCTTCCAGGACCTTAGCGCTGGGAAGGGGGTCAGCGGCTGTAATGGGTGTCCCCCCGGGGAGATGGTTGGCTGTCAGCTTGACCAAGGCCAGGGCACGCTCAGGGAGGCGAGTGGGTTGGGTGCACGATGCCTGCCAGACGGGCAGCTTGGCCGCTAACAGCTCCCGCACCTGCAAGGAAAGAGGGACACAAAGACCCATCTCAGTCTGGTTTTGTTTTGGCTTTTCGGCTTCTACTCTTCCCTGCTTCAGGATGTCGATGCTAGAAACCACCCAGTTCAAAAATGCACATTTTAAAATTTGTAAGGCAATTCTCTCCTGAAAACTGTGCTCACCCCTCCCTTTATCCCAAGATGAACTGCGACCTTCTGGCTGTCACCTTCTTGTTATCCCCCCACTTGAGGCTGGCCTATTTGGCCACAACTGGAAACCATTCCTTCTCTGTAGCGGCTCCCACGGCTATTTTTGGGCAGGAACACACAGGAGCGGAGTTCCGGCTGGCTTCAGAGTTGGCCACGCCCACTACAGCCAAAACCTCTGCATGTGTGGCTACAGAGGGAAGGCCTGGAGAGCGACCGACCCCCCTGGTGACTGCATGTGTGGCTACAGAGGGAAGGCCTGGAGAGCGACCGACCCCCCTGCCTCCCTGTGCCTTCCCCGGCCTGTCCAAGGGCCGGCTTACCTGGGCTCCCCGCAGTCGCGTAGCACCCAGGCAAGCCAAGAGAAGGCATGGGGGTGTGGCCTATTAGGCTAATGAGCTTTGCTGTCAGGGTGTGACCTGTTATGCTAATGAGTTCCTGCTGGGCTTTTTCTACAAAAAAAAAAGCCCTGGCGGCTCCCACTTTGTGGGATGGCTTCCCGGAGGAGGTGGGGGAGGACGCTGTTAAGCTGTACACATTTTGTCGGGAAGAGGGGTTCATGCGGTTTTATTGTACTTTCTATGTTTTTAATCTTGGAATGGTAAGCCACCAGGGAAAGGCAGGGTAGAAACACGATTACACGATTTCAAGACTGTCTGACCAGAAACTTGATTTTTTTCCTCCCCAAAGAGGGACTCTCAAAAGGTTGAATTCTATGCCCATCCTAACAAAGGAAGAACGAGACGGGTTTCCACCTGAATCCCACTGTGAGGAGAAATAAGGAGAGATCACTCCTTAACCCTTATGGCGTGAGGCGGATGCAGCTCACCTTGGTGTGATAGGTGCTGAAGTGCTTGGAGACTGCACACTGGCGGTCCACCAGAAAGGAGTACCGGCGCCTCTCCTCAGTCAACGCTGCCTTGTATCCTTCCGCCACAAACCGATCCAGCTCACTCTGCTTGGTGCTCATAATCTCCACATACTTTGGCAAAAGGAAAAAGAAAAATCCAAAGACATAATTAGATGGGAAGCGGCCATCTTGTTCCAATTTCAGGCCCAACCACTTCACAGCCGGGCTTACATACCAACACTGTACAGAATTAAGACTTTCCCATATGATGAAACTATGCAGCCTATACAAATGTGATACAGCAGACACTTGGATAGGACTTGGATCAAGGATTTCTAGGTTCAAATCCCTATTCAACTATGACGTTTAGATTTCTGGCAAGCCATTATCTTTCAGGCTTTACCAATCTCACAAGGTTGTTGGAAAGATAAAAGGTTGTTAACCACCTACCTCAATCTCTGCTTTCATTTTTTTAAATGACAGTTTGTAGTTCTTATGACTACAAAGATAAGTCGAAGCGGCATAGCTAAGTCTGGTTCATAGGTGAATTAGGTATTCTATTGCTGCACCTCTTTATATCCTTATTACAAATACTTCTTCAAGCAGTTGTCAAGGACATCCAGATTAGGCTACTGTCATGCATTTTGTATGGGGCTGCCCTTGGAAACTGTCCGGGAACATTAACTGGGTCAACAGGTGGTTGTCATGGATGAGCAGATGACAGCCCATTACCCCAGTGCTTCAATAACATCACAGGCTTATCGATGTATTTCTGGCCACAAAAGGATCTGTGCTCTCAGTTCCTTAGGACGTTTATCCCAATAAACCCTCCTGCTCCCTAAGACCAGTCAGTGAGGCACTGCTGTAAGCACCATCACAGCTGGATCCAAGCGTGGAACCCTCCAGGATGAGGATGATTTCAGTTGTGAAATTAGAATCCCCCTAGAAGCTTGTATGTCTACAGGCAGATGCAAGACTTTCTTCTTTTTTATTCCATCAACTCTGTGCAGGGTGAGGCGGGAGCTCAGACTGTCTTGGGAATGGTTGTTCTACGTTGCTGCTAAACTGCGGATGTGTTTTATGCTGTCAGTCTCCCTTTAAAAAGTTTTACTGCTTTGATTTTATTCTCTCAACTGCTTTGGGAACATTTGCAGCTGACAGGTGGTACAAAAGTTATACAAATATACAAGTATTTATTTATCTGGAAATTTATGCCCTGCTGTTCTCCCCAGCAGGGACCCAGAGCAGCTTACAGCATCATTCTGCCCTTGTACATTTTATCCTCACAACAACAATCCTGTGAGGTTGGTTAAGATGAGAATCTGTGACTGGCCCAAGGTCACCCAGCAAGCTTCCACGGCAGAGGGGGGATTCGAACCTGGGTCTCCCAGGTCCTAGTCTGACATTCTAACCACTGCACTTGTCTTTGGGTCTAGTCATGCATCAATGGGGAGCAAATGATCACTGTTCTTGAGGTGGGGGGGGGAACACGACTGTGCTATAGCAATATGAGGGAGGACGGTGGATGAGCCCTGTGCATATAGCATGCCTCCTACTGAGTCAGACTGTTGGTCCCTCTGGTCAGCATT